AGTCTATCTTCGAAATGCGCACATCCGACATCCGTTCAGAATCGCATTCATAATCTTACCGCATGCATTACATGCAGTATTAGTTCTTCAATGGAGAGCACGCTTGAAAGAGCCCCCAACGGGAGCGCAACCAAACGGTCATTTTCATCAACTGATGCCATTCTGAGCCCTAAGCAGTAGGTGGGAAAGGCTCTGCTCTGGCAGCGCTTCAACCCGCAACTCTTCGGACTCCCTCTCGTTTGCATTGCTAATGACTCTACACTCATATAGGATGCTCTTCCAATATGCGAACCAAGGTTTTACCTCAAAGGCGAGGTTGGTGTCTACACACTGAGCTCACAGACATGAAAGGTCTGGCTGGCAAGACACAGGACCTTAAGGCATAGCGTTCGATTTCTCGACACATCCCTGCGGTAGCTGGCTTCTCTTTACCGCTCAACCTCCTTCATATATGGAACGAAGAAAAAAGTGTTCAATAATGGGGCAGCTCAACCTATCTCTGGAGATTATTAGTGTCAGATAACTAGGTGAGCTCTCAATTTTGCCTATTTCCTGCTCATAAGAGGCGAAGATGGTTTAGTGACAAGTGGCACGCTCACCACCCGCGCAGGTCCTGGGTTCAAATCCCGGGTCGACTCCCGCCCAGGCCAACCAAGCCTTCTACCCTCCGGGGACGGTGAATTGGTACCAGATTCGTCTGGGAGGATAAAACACTGACTTGTACATCGGCTGGCCCCCGCAAGTCATTGTATAGGCCACATCGCATTCAATAAGCCACTACGATTCTGAATGGAAGTAGAATGCGTGCCGCATCCCACAAAGGGATTGATCAACGGCGAAGATTTTATCCTTTTATCCTTTATTCTTCTCACGAAATGAAAATTCCAGTTTCGGCAGTCACCTCGAAAAAAAACTGTACTGCTTCCGCTATGAACGTTGCTACTTGGAAGAAGAAGCGCTAGAGTAGCAGTGCTTTGAGGATGCCGGACATTGTCCCACAAATTCCTCGACATAGAGGCAAAAGGAACGAACCAAAAAGTAGGTGCTACTTTTTGAGTCCTAATCTCCCTCTGATCGAAATTCTCTGCAGTAGTGCTCGCTGCGATCGATACAAAAGCGTCAGTGGGCTGGGTTGGACACGCTATCAGCCCAGGGCACATCGTTGTTGGGGAATCCCCAATAGGGTGGTCGTACTTGGAGAGGGAGGGGGGTTCGTATTTGTGCTGGAGAAAAATTTATTTTGATAGTTTGATTTTTCAGTGGCTTCACGGACCCTTTTATAGGGGAGATCGTTCTCGTCATTGTTGGGAGGGGGGAATCGTATTTACGTTTTGGTGTTGTAGGAGCGGTGGTTGACTTTTCGTGATTTTCCTGTGTCATGCGTACTATATACCCCCCCCCCTCGACAGCAGTTTTAAGTTTTTGGGGAAAAGTAGGGAACTTTTCGAGAAATTTTGGAAAAAAGTGGGAAGAAGTTGGGGAAAATCTGAAAATTGGTAGAGGGGGAGGGTCGTATTGTGTCGCATTTCTTCCGATGTCCCCTCCTCACCCGCTGCGACGGCTCGATTCGATGAGGAGGAACAGAGGGCCGGAGGGGGGGGGAGGGGGGGGGGGCGTACCATCCCCAAAAAGAAGGGAGGGGGGGAAGGATCGTACAGACATCGACTGAAAATCCGCGCAACAAAATGAATGTCCTGTATCAGCCACCATTCTTTGATGTTTTTTTTCTTATGAGCACGAAAAGATAGACTGTATTCATTTCCGTTGCTTATAAGTCACTTTCTACGTTAGAGGGGCTGGCGGTGCGTGAAACCCAGCCTCACTGGCACGTCCCATCATACGCAGTGAACAGGGCTGCACTTCTCGGTTTTACCTAGCAGCCAATCATTTCAGACAGTGCTTGGAGGCAGCAAAGACTTCCAGCTTATAGACCTGTTATAACCGCCTATAATACTTTTCCTTGGGTGGCAATTGTTGGATGTCTGTGTCTTGCTATGGGAATCGTACTGAAATTCGCTATGGATGAGTGTTAGTTTTTGGTATTCTTTGAACGCGATTTGCACAGCTTTTAAAGCCATTTCGCTTTGAATAAAAATAGGACTTGAAAAAGATAAACTTCAGGCTTTTATCAAGCCTCGTTGGGAATGTGGCAACGCACCGAGCCTATGCTCTTATCAAAGAAATCAAAATATCAGCTTCGAGGAACAGAGCTCTCCGTTCAACGCCGTTCCCTTATAAAGTCCAAGATTAGATTAACTTATCATGATTGTCCCATTTGATCAGGGGTCGCACGAGCTCTATATAAGGTAACGACATTGCCCGTAATTACCCAATACTTGCAATGATCGCAGCTCCTCTTCATCCATCGTGGAGACGTGAAAAAGGGACAATTTTGCGATCACCCATCGTACTACTTGGGCAGGGAAGGAATCCTACGAAATGATCGGACGCATGGTCTGTCTTCAAACGCGAGTCAGCCCATAAACACGAAGTGCCTTGAGCGCTTTCCTGCCTCTATTTCTGAACGCTGCTGCGCCAACGCCGCTAGGCGACCCGCTCACAAACAGGTAATATAGAACTTCTCTACATCTCCGGGATGTGGATTGTACAGTGGCAGGCTATCTCTCGTCCGGTGTCCAGCTGCTTTTCCGGCACCTCCCATTGTAGAGCCTTCCTTGACTTCGTTACTGCTTACGTCCTCAGATGAACAAAGCTTTACTTTCACTCCTTTGAGTTGCATATTCTTCGTACTCCTTGTCCGTAATCAGGATCAGTACTGGCACTGAGGACAGAAAGAATGTTGTATAGTAATAGGGCGCTTTCATTACCTAAGGCCTAGTTAAACATTTTCAGGCTTCCACTACCGTAACGGGTCGGAAGTGAGACAGCAGAACGTAGCTTGCGAACATTTTTTCACAAAAAAAACTAGCGGAACACATTTCTTTCAGTATTTTCCTGGAACAATCTATGATATGGAAGTAGGAAAGTGCCTGAATTTGCTGTCATTTCAGCGTTGGAGCTTGTAATTGAGTACACGAATTGTACGACCAGCACGGGATATTCCACCGATCAGCTCGAAGATTTCTCTTATCCAGACGGTTCCACGCAGTGCCACCTTACGTTCTCTATCACTGAGAATTATACAGTAATTGCCTGGTTTGACCTTGTACTTTTTCAGCACATTATACAAACCTTTAGGGAGACGTCAAATTCTACTATGGTCTCCGAGAATTCTATCAGAATAATCGAATGTATGTCGTTTCGCGAAATGATCTCCAGTTATTAGGTAATCTTGGCAAGGTGAGGCTCCAAACACTTCAGAATACGGTCTGAGTGCAAGTTTACC